AGAGAGAGAGAGAGAGAGAGAGAGAGAGAGAGCAATAAAGAAATGGAGTAGGTTAAACATACATGAGTTGGCCTGGGATTTTTGGTTGCTGTTCTGACGAGCACAGGTGTTGATATGTGTGCAGAGGCTTGTGGATGAACGGAATGAGAAAATGGCAACATTGGAGCACAAGATCTCAATGCTAGAGGTAAGCATGGCATTGCTGTTGTGTTGGGCTGGATTGAATGTGTACTGGGATGATGAAGCTTTCCTTTTGTTTTTTGGCATTGCTGTTGTGTTGGGCTGGATTGAACGTTACTGGGATCATGGAGCTTTCTTTTTTTTTTTTTTTTCTGTAAGTGTTTTGCATTACTCAGGAGTCATATTGAGTACTCAATTTGTGAAATGAAAGAAACACGTGACGGTTTTCTCATAAAGCTTTCCTTTTGTTTTTTGGCATTGCTGTTGTGTTGGGCTGGATTGAACGTTACTGGGATCATGAAGCTTTCTTTTTTCTTTTTCTTTTTTTGTAAGTGTTTTCCATTACTCACGAGTCATATTGAGTACTCATTTTGTAAAACGAAAGAAACACGTGACGGTTTTCTCATAACGAACATGCTGCAGGTTGAATGCGCGACATTGAATCAGGAGCTACAAGATGCTGACAGTAAGCTGAGGAGAGAGCAAAAGAAGGTTGAAGCAAGCGAGAAAAACCAGGCGTCTCAGGTCTGCCTTTGTCTCTGTCACAGCAGCATTCTATGGTTCTCTTCTTCTGTTGCCTTTCACTCTACCCTAGTTTTTGCTCTTGTAGCAATTGCTCGCTAGAGAGTGTGCGACTGCATAGCATCTATGGAATAATGTTATTGTATTTAACAAGTTAGTTGCCTGCTACCACTCTGCCCATGCAAGAGGAAGTGGGCACAGGAGGTCACAGAACCCAGCAGAATGGATGGCCGATCGCCGCTGTGTATGCAGTTGCTATATAGAGCTGGCTGGTAGCTCAGTTGGTAGAGCATGTGAGTGGCATTCAGGAGGGCGCAGGTTCGATTCCCCACGTCATCCGTCCGAGTCCCCGTGGCCCCTGTGGCGCACTTCGGGGTTACCAGGTGAGATAGTTGGCTTGCCCCTCCTAGCTGATCTTGGTAGGCGCCCCTCCATTCAGGAGGGCGCAGGTTCAACTTGTGGACTGTCAATGCCTGTGAGGCAGTGTCATCAAAAACATAAAATAAAGAAAAGGAATTGACTGCTATGTAGAGCTGAGATGCTGTGTAGGGTAGGGGTAGGCTATTATCTGCCCTGGCTGGTACTTTGTGCAGCGGCTGCTATTATGCAGGTTGGCTCACATGTGTAGTCAGTGCTATGTGGGGTTGGTGGTACTATGTGGGTTGTGTAGGTAGTACTTTGTGGCATGGCTGTCATGTGCAGTGGGTAATACTCTGTGGGCTTGGTGTAGTAAGTGTTGCTATTCATAGCTGGTAAGCTGCATGCCATCTGCGGTGGGGCTGTGGTGCTATGTGAGTAGGGTGCAGTGCTATGTGAGTAGGGTGCAGTACTATGTGAGAGCTGGGTTCGGTGCTATGCTGGCAAAAAGAAAAAAAAGAGGCATGTGGCTACGTTGTAAATGTGTCAGCGGTGGGGGCCGGTTAAACCACTAGTACCTTTGTCGGTTCGAAAATACTCGGCCTCTGACCTTTCAGGAGGCCGAGACGAAACGACGGCTGCCGATCAGATTGATCAACGTCGGGCTCGGCCTCCTGAAAGTTCGGGAGCTGGCAAGAACTTGTCGAAACCGGACGCCATAGGTACTAGTGGTTTAACACAAGGACCGAGCATTTCCCGGTAACTGCAGCTCCCTTTTCATCGTCCCCCACCCTCATCGAGTAACAGCAGTGTCTACAGCCAACACTCTCCCACACACCTCACGCAACCCACTCACACTCGCACTCATACCTGTGCTGGCTGACGACCCTACGAATACCGAAGGATCCAGCTGACTATCTCAGTTGGTTGGCATCAAGTGTAAACCACTAGGGCAAGGGGCAAACATGCAATTACCTTCCTCCACCGAGAGAGGTAACCTTCCTTCACCGAAGAGAGCTAGATAGCTATGCTTGCAGGGGTCCCCTTTACAGCCTTAGGAGTAGTGGTAGGTAGGCGGTGAAAGATGAAAAAGATATGTTCCATGACATGGCTGAAGCCACTTAAAAATTGAGAGAATATATATATATATTTACCGGGCAGTTCTATTTGACGATATATATATACAGCTGTCCCCCAATGAGGAGAAGACAGCTTTCCTGTAAAAAAAAACGTCAGAAATTGTAAATGTGTCTGTCACTGTCTGATTGTTAGTAAACAGCATAATTGCGGCGCGTAGGTGAAGTGCGCTGCGCAGTATGCTGCGCGGTGCGCAGTGCGCCAATCCCAGGTGCGCGCGTCGAAAAAACAAAAACAAAAACAAACCGTGATGTGTGTATACATGCGAGAGAGAGAGAGAGAGAGAGAGAGAGAGAGAGAGAGCACAGAGACCTTTCACATTATTCAGACAACCCCTGCCGGTACTTCAAAAGGTCCCTGCCAAAAATTGGCAAGGGTCCCTTGGTCATTGGAAGGGTCGTCACTGGACTCGTAGCAAGGAGGGAGTAGGCCAGCTACATACGGTGTAGCTTTGATTTCAGGTCCGTGTTTCAGCAGTTATGGGTTACTGACTTACTAACTCAGCATGTGATTTTGAGGGCTTCACTCCACTACTCACCAAATGTGCAAAACTAGAATGAATCTTCTCCTAGAAACTGGATCCATACAGGCCATTTGTTTTTCTTTTCTGCAAGTGCTGATGAGTGGAGCCAGGCCCTTAGGGCCACTGGACGCAAGTAGAAAAGGAAAAACTAAAAACCGAGACAGCTAGTGTATGTGCAAAACTAGAATGAATTTTCTCCTAGAAACTGGAACCACACAAGCCATCCGTTTTTCTTTTCTGCAAGTGCTGATTAGTTGAGCGAGGCCCTTAGGGCCACTGCACGTAAGAAAAGGGGGGAAAAAAAAAACGAGACAAATACTGGAGTGTTTGTGGTAAGTTCGTAACCCATAACTCTTGGAACACAGACCTGAATCCAAATCCGGGATATATTGCTGGCCTACTTGTGGTCTTCATCCTTCCAAAGGTTATGGAGACCCTGCTAATTGCTTGCAGGGTACTTTTGGAAAGGAGAATCAAACCAATGAGCAGTACGACGAGGCCCCAATATATTCTCTCTCTGTGTATTTACCCTTTTTAAAAGGGAGGGACACTTATGGGCACGACCTAATGTTTCTGATTTTTTTATTATTATTTTTTTCTAAATGTGCCGCATCACGAGCGCGCGCACATGTGCGCATGTGCGCTGCGGCGCACGTGATGCGCCGCAACTATGGTAAACAGATCACGACCTCAAATCCAATTGGGATGAGATCTGCAATAATGTTTGGTAATTTGGATAGATCTGGCCATATATATCCTGACGAGTCGGTGAAACTCCGACGAAACAGTTTGTCACAGCCCCTCGTTTGTTGTCCTCTTCGCTCCCTCTGCCTACGGTTTACCGGGCAGTTCTGTTTGTGACGATATATATATATATATTTTTTTTAACAATTTCTAAAGAAAGGAGACAATAAAGTCTCTTTCTTCTCACCGTGTCCTTTTAGATGGACCTTTGGGCTGTTGTGGACTGGTTTTATTCCCTTTCAAACCGGGCCACAGCCTTGAGGTACAATCATAGAACTGCCCAGTCCCAGCGGGATTCTAACTTCGGTCGGCTTGGCAACGGTTACATGGCTGTACCATTACGCCACATGCGCTGGGTGCGGGGTTGTCTTTGAACACTCCTCTCCCTTGAATCGAATGCAACTCCTGGCCGTAAGAGGCACGGGCCCCATTGGTTCCCTTTTACAATTCCAAGCGGGCGAATACATTTTCGGTCTTCTTTTCCACCCCACTTCTTTGTCCCTACTGGTCGCAGCCCTGTAACAGGGTGTGCCACCAGGACTCTTACTGCCTTTTAAACTATTTATAATTTTATAGATATAATACTGCGGTATTGTATGTATTTGATTTACTGGCAAATGACCTCATACTACGATTAGCAGAGTGATTGCAATGTATGGTGTGATTGTAAGCAATGGTTTTGAAAAGGAAGAATTGCTTGTGTTATCGACTGTTCAGTGCTGTTGCTTGTCTCTTTACGTGATGATCTTGAGCAGGTGGATGTATTAATCGAGGAATCTGGAAAAGCACGGCGAGCCCAGAGGGAAGCGGAGGCAAAACTGTCAACAATGGAGGTAACGCAAACAAACGGGGATCCGTTTTCCCTCTTGCTATCACCTACGGAATCTTTTGTGACTGTTGCGCTATGGTTCCTGCTTTCTCGTTAAGGTCATTGAATGTGGACACCATTGTGTCCTCATTCATTGGATGCTAACTTGCTAAAGCTTTATTTCCAGAAAGAGGGGTGTCAGGTGGAAGGGATTGCTGTGTTTCTTTGGGACGTGAGAAATCTCCAATCTTAAGAACCACTTTCATTCTTGGTTTCACAAACTGCATCCTCATTGAACGTGGACGCAACTGTGTCCTCATTCATTGGATGCAAAGGCTTTATTTCCAGAAAGAGGGGAATAGCTACTAGCTGGCATTATTGTTTACGGTAGTTTATACTCATCTGATTCGATCAGAATTCGAAATCGTGATCTCTGGTTTAGTAAGAATTGCATGTGTGAGATTGTGTGCCATTCAGTCATGTGGGCTGGGCAAGAACCATTTTCTTGGCAATCCAATAAGGGAACTAGTGTGTTTTGATGTTCTGCAGGCAGAGACGGAAAAGCTGCGCAACGAACTCGCAAAGGCTAGAAGAGAAGCTGGGAGCTCGTCGGTACAGGTAGAGAGCATTCCCACAGTACCAGAAAAAATGTTTATCATCATAAGGGGACCATCTCGGCCGTTTGCCGTTCACGCTCGTGAATGACCCAGATGTTCGTCCAATCACCAATAATTCTGATGAGAGTCATGAGACCTGAATTTCTGGGCCTCACGCATGGACGTGAGGCCCAGCTGTTTAACCAATCTGCATTTTCTTTGCTGTATGATTCATGGTGCTGCCAGCTGAAGCAATATGAGGGCCTTTTCAGTCCTCCACAAGTGTTTGTGTGCGGCGTTCTGGCCCTCTGAACCAACCCCGGTACCGCCACAACAACGTGCATGAGAGAGAGAGAGAGAGAGAGAGAGAGAGAGAGAGAGAGAGAGAGAGAGAGAGGTGGGAGGGGAGAAACGACCAGGTGCAAATGTATCATTTATAGGACTTCTGTTTGTTGGCAAAGCTGCAACCGTTCATCTAGTTGCATCAAAAATACAAGATTCGGGGTTCTTCCTTTCCAAAAAAAAAGGGACAAGAAAGAGGGAAAAAAACTTGCGCGATGGGAACAATGCGAACTGTGATGCATTTGGATTGGAAACTTTATATTGCAAACCCCCTCAGGGGCCACTGAGAATTTCCGAATTGTGATGCATTTGGGCGAGCCACATTCAATCTGGGTTTGGTTCTGGCAGACTTCTCTTTTTCTTTTTTCTCTCTGTTTTTCAGTCATAGTTTTCTGTGAGGTCGTTTGTGTGTGGTTCCTGATCCGTTTATGAAGTACATGTTGCTCTCAGTGTTCTTAGAGTGACATTGTCGCGATTGCGCTGATCTTTCCGTGCATGATTATGCTCTGTCAAGGTAGAGTTCAGGGCTTTCAGGAAGAGTTGTTCCTTCGTTCTCTGCATGTACACATCCAGATGGCAGTAAGTGGTCACAATGCCGTTGCGCGACTTTTGCGCCCATTCATTGTTGTCATCTTAATTTATAGAGGCAGAGAAGCAAGGAATAACTCTGCCTGAATGTGTGCGTGAGGGGGAGAGAGGGGGAAGGGGGACCAACTCTGCCTGAAAGGAAAAATAGGCGATCCACAGCGTGTAATGACGTGATGTGTATTGTGCTTGGTTAGTTCTGTTGCTTACTGAGAACTGCTGCTGATGGACGTTTCCACCTCCCAAGTGCTGGGGATTGTCATTTGGTGAATGTGCATGCACGCGCGTGACTTGCTGGACATTTGGCATGTACGGGTGTAGCGAGGTGGACATGTGCGCCAAGTGAGTGGTAATCCAACAGGTTTTGCTTATAGCTGATCATCCATGCGTTTGACATGTCCGTCCTCATATGCAGGCTCATGCGGAGCTGGAAAGGCGATTTCGGGAGCTCACAGAGCTTTTGGTAAGAGCAACCTCAAGCAAGTCTCTCTGCATTGGTGCAGTAAATGGCATTTGTTTTTTATCTTTTGTAGCAGTGTTGCACGCCCCGACCGTCGGCGACCCTTGACTGGTCGGCACCTACTGGTCGCCGGTCGGGGGTCGTCGGCACCCCCATACCAACCCCAAATACTCCCATATACCCCCCCAACACCCACAAACCACCCCCCCAACACCCCCAACACCCTCCTACACCCCCCCTTACCCCCTATACCACCCCTGTACCCCCTATATCCCCCTATATCCCCCTATTCACCCCTCCCTCAACCCCCCTATCCCCAAAAATTTCTCAGCGGATTTGGGCTGTACTCAGCAAGTGCAGTACAGCTTCCAACTCAGATCTGAAAAAAAATTAGTGGATGGTTGTTTTCTGACTGGTCGGCAGAACGCCGACTGGTCGGCCCTACTGGTCGGCTGCAATACGGTCGGCGGTCGGGGTTGGTGGTCGGCAGGGATGCAACCATGTTTTGTAGGGAAAATCGCATATGTACCCCATTTAAAGATGGAATCCCCTCCCTTTCTGTTTTTAACTAGGCTCCTTTTATTCTGGGAAGCAGCAGTCCGGTTCCTTTTCCACCAGCAAGTCAGAAAGGAATCCCCTTCATAGTAGTTTATACACTACGTTTCCCATGTGCAGCTGATGCGCTAAATTATACCTGTGCCTGGTCCCACAGGGCCTCGGTCCAGGACCACGGAGTGATGTCATGCCCACAAGCAGGGCAGGCAAGATTGGGTGTGCAGACAAATTTTCCGGGTATGTCCATAATTTGAGCATTCCCGTAGGTGGATGTACCAGTATAACCACAATGTGGCGGTTCCAGCCTTGGCCCACCTCGGTCCCGCGCATGGACATAGTTTACACAGGCCTTTTCCCGCACGTGGATCGGGTATAAAGGCAACTCCCATCTTTCTACAGGGTACATATGCAATTTCCCCTTTTTTTTTGTTTAAGGGGGTAGCTACTGACCTTGCTGTACCCCAACCTGAGTGCAGCATCAGCACTCAAACTCATCGTCAGTTTTATTTATTTTTTGTTAATGTGTGTAGAATTGAGCCACATGGGATGGGTAGTGAATGGCATTTGGCTTCTGTTGTTTTCCAGTTTTCCTGCTTTGTATGTGAGCAGAATATACCATGGATGATTGATGATTAAAGTAAAATTATACTAAAATACCCAGCATTCATCTCTAAGAGAGGCAGGCAAGTAGACAGAGATACAAAGTTACAGACTTCCAATTGACAAACAGACAAAAAACTACAATCAGAGAGGCGAAGAGCTACACACACACACACACACACACACACACACACA